CTCACCATGAATTTTTAAAACCTCTAGAGAGCCTCCTGTCAGTAATTTTTATTGTCTAAAACTCACCTTCCATTAGATCATCATTAGTGATTATCAATAGAAGTTGTCTACATAAACATTTAGTTATTTTACATGACGGAACTATTTCTAAATAGGGTTGCCAACCATCCAGGTCTGGTTTGGAACAGGGTAAAACCGTCCCATACCAATATGAAAATTAATGCACTATCTCGGTCCAAACCAGACCCTATAGGGTCTATGGTTTCAAACCCAGAACCGAACTGATTCGTAATCGACACAGTCAAGTCTGAACCAAGCTGATTAGCAATCGCTGCCGTTCAAAGTAACACTGAATAGAATACAAACAGGGTTCCTTGGTTCAAGAAGAAAAAAACAGAACCGGGGTTCCACATGGTCGTATCAAGATCTTGTCATTCAAACACAAAATACAAACAATGGAGTTCAAGAAGGGTCCCCACTGGTATGGCAGTATCAAAGGCTACTTGTGCTACCATTCAAATACAAAATACAAAGAATAAGGGTTTAGAGAGAAAATAGAATAGGGGTTTTTGTTAGACGATAGGACCCTTTTCCATTAGGCTAAGTTTGGAAGGAATATAAATACAAATTTGTAGAGTATAAAACCTTACATTTGATATTATTTTATATGTATTTATACTTTACATATTTGTATTTTTACTCCTTTCAAACTGAGCCTTGGTGTTTTGGTTATATCTGTTCTCATATGTCATTGTTATTATCTGTCTCCGTTGTTGCAGTGAATTTTGAATACATCTGAGAATTAGAAAGTGGAGACCGAAGAAAATTAGAGAAACTACCCAATAATAGTTGCAAGGAGAAGATGGGAGAATGGGATTAGGCACTAAGGCAACAATAACAATGACCATTATAATTCGGTCGGTTTAGGTTTGTCAGATAGATTTGACCCATTGACAGCCCTATTCTTAAATGGTCAATCAAACTTATTATTGAAATATATATTTTAAGTATATGTGGGTTGGGCCTGGTGTGGGCTCAAGCCTTGGTTAGGGGTAATTTTGCTATAAGGGTCATTCAAAGGTAGTGTGGTAATATAAAATACTTAAGTGTTTGCACCAACAACTTTTATTAATGATCACTAACAGTGATCTAGGTGAATTTTGGACAATAAAACTTAATGACAAGGGGTTCTCTAGAAGTTTTGAAAAATCATGGTAAATTTTAGATAATATATTTTTTGGTAATTTAAACGGAAAAGTACAGACAGGCTTAATTTAGATTTCTGAATTCAGCTGTAAATCTATAAACATTCAAAAGGTCAAAAACCCACACTCTATGCACTCATACCCATCCTTTAATTGGCATAAATTCCAAACTGGCACCTATCCCAATTGTACTTAGGGCCTATGAATTCTGACCCTGGGCTGAACAGTCATTCTCCCTAATTTAAATGGTCTCATGAGGAATTGGGGAATCATGCTAATTGTATATTTAAGTAGGGTTACCCACCTAGCTAATGAAAGTCTTCTGTTTCCATCTAACAATATTGCTATGTACTCTGCTAACGTCTTCTGCATTTGTCCTTATTCACTTTTTCATCAATGATGGGAACCCCAAGAATTAAGTAAAATTTTTTAAAGCATGATGCTCAATTTTGCAAAGTTTGGGTCTCGGCCCATTGTCTTAGCAAATTTATTCAAAATATCCCTAATTTTGAGTGCATTGTTAACTAATGGTTTAGAGAATATAAGACAATCATTAGCAAATTGCAATAAAATATGTTTAGTCCACCTTTTGATGCTTTAAAGTTTAAATCCCAAATTTACATATTTCTTTGCAAATCTTGGAGAAATAGAGCCTCCCTACCTTATTCCTCTTTATGGTTTAAAAATTCTTGTTAGTGATCTATATATGAGGACTTAAAATGAAACCATAGTTATGCCATAACCCATCTATTCCATTTTTCATCAAACCCAAATTTTCTTAATAAATTCTCATTTCAATATATCAAACACCTTTTTCTATGTCAATTTTATAAGCTATGACATGTTTTTCCTTTTCTTTTTCATTTTATTAAACATTTTGTGGGACATTAAAATATTATTTGATATTTGTTTATTTGGAACAAAAGTGCTTTAAAAGAGAGAGATGATATATCTCTCAAGATAGGTTTGATTCTACTAACCAAGCTTTTTGCAATAATTTTATAAATTACATTACATAAACTTATTGGTTTAAAACTATCCATTGTTTTTAGGTTTTCTTTTTCTTGGATGATAGCAATAAATGTTCTATTTAGTTATCTATTTGATCTTCATGTAAGTCTACTGTCTCTATTTTGCACAAGGTTTTAAAAGCCAACCTGGAAACGGAACTGCTTTGGCCACCGGTTTCTGGGTCAATGATTCGACCATCCAGGTTGAACGGTTCAAACGCTTTAATATACATTTCATCCTACCCTTTGGATTGGAGTATAGGGTAAGATGGTAGATGAATATAAATGATGTTATGAGAAAGGGGATGAGAATGAGAGTGAGGAGAGAGCTCTATTGGCTCAGAGAAGGAAAAAAAAAAGATGGTTGAGAGAAAGAAGAAGAAGAAAAAGAAAGGAGGAAAAGGCAGAGGTGTGAGTGCCCTGTACCAGTGGTGGCAGTGGCAACCTGTAGTGGCGACGACATGAACCTGCAGCAGCGGCAACAACGGTGACCTACAGCAGCGACAGATCTCTCTCTTACAAATATGTCATCTTGTCTCTGAGATCTCTTCTCTCTCTCTCTCTCACTTATATCTCAAATCTGAGATCGATCTGTTTCCCTCTATTTTTTGTTTTTTGTTTTTTAATTTTAAACAAGATATATAGGCCACAAACCATTGTACGGGTTGAATGGTTTAGCAGTCAGACCATCTGGATCAATGATTTATTGACCAATTCAATAACTTTTAATAAAATAACAATTCTGCACTAAAATGAAATCAATACCTTGATCGATTTCCAAGTTAAATGGTTCGACCATCCAAATGAATGGCGATTTTAAAACCATAGTTTTGCATGTCAATCATATTGCAATAGTTTATCATTTCATTAAATTTCCATATTTGGTCAGTTGTCCACTTTACTTATACTTGCTTGACATGAACATGACAGCATTAAGGTCACCATACATCGTTCGTATTGGCAGCAAAGCTTTTAAGCCATAGCCAAATTATGATTTATTTAGTGTGGTTTGGAGGAGAGTAAACAAAGGAACACAGTATCCATGCGTACCCATTGGAAATATCTCCTCATGAAATGACAATTGAGATATCTCTAATGTGCAGCTCGCAGCTGTACATTGGATTGGAGCAGGTCCAATGAATATTTTGGATCCAGTTTAATATGAATCAATTATAAATGGACCAGGTTTAATTCAATTCAATGAATATTTTGGATCAGTCCAATTCAATGTTTGGACCGTTCAATCTATTCAAATTTGTTTTAACCCAAAATTAGTCCATTGATACCTAAATTCTTATCTTCTATTAAGACTAGATATTGTCTCAATCCAATATAAATTCGGATGGGGCAGGTCCAATCAAATCCAATAATTACTTTGTACCATTAAGTCTGAATTGTCCCAATTCAGTATGTTTTGCTGGTCCGTTCAATTCATCCAAATTGATTTTAGTTTGGACGGGGTCCAATCCAAAATCGGTCCATTGATACCCCAAGGTAGTAGATCCAGACACTATTCCCCCCTCCCCCTGCCAATATTGTTTTGTGACAAAGACCCTTTTGAACTTATGGATTCTAACACTTTTCCCTCTACTTAGTCCCAAGATTGACCAGCCATAAGAGTAAAATTATTAAATTGCCCACTCAAGATTTGGACCAGGAACAAAAGTTATATCAAAATGATAAAAAAAGGGTATGCTAAAGCATAGTATCTGGATTGAGTAACTGTGCTTCTAATTAAGTATATGTTTGGTTTTGTGGCTGTTTATTGTAGAGTGTTATTCGGATAAATGTTTATTTGAAAAATACTATTTTAAACTTTTGTTGATTTTGTTATTTGATTGGGTGTTTTATGAGCATTTCAAGTAACACCGCATAAAGAATGAAACAAAAAATAAAATAAAAATAAAAATAACACCGCATAAAGTTATTTTCCACGTCAGCTTGAAGTTTGCCACATAAGCATTTTGTTTCAATAAAGGTCTAAGAATTTGAAGAAACAAGAATTTGAATTTTCCCCCAACACCTCATGCACATAAATCAAATCATTTTCTGTTTTTTACCAAACATTGGTTTCATGTTCAATAAACCCCAATGGCCAATGCTTAAGCAGAATAAACCCCACAAAACCAAACATAACCTAAACCTTCACAGAAGAAGAAATAGATTTCATCGTTCTCAATATGAAAATAGTCTCATGGGGTTTTAGATATATTAAACATGCACATGACAGTATAATGGAATTTTTTTTAAGTAAAACCGACAACAGGGACAAAGTACTATAAAAACTAAGAAGTGTGTCTCTGACTCTGTGGGGTATTTTGGGATCACGTTTTAGCCGCATCCGCATCCGAATTCGATTATGTAAACGGGTCATCCGTACCCGAGACAATGGGATTGGATTTCACACTTGGGGGAGTAAAATAAGTATCAAAAATTAACAAGCCTAACGACAGGGTGTTTTACCAACAAAAAAAAAAAAAAGAGTTGAAGGTGGGTCGGAAAATTTTCGGTGGGTTCCAGGGCGGGAATGGGTTCTGACTTCTGAATGTTCATTTGTGGATTCTTATCCTAACTGGACGTCAAGGGTCAGGACAAAGGTGGCGGGACTCCTACCCAAATGCCAAAAGTCAAGGAGTCAAGGACGATGGCGTTTGTTTCTTTTTGAACATCAACTGTATTCCCAGCCATTATTGAACAAAGAACATTATTAAATGAAAGAAGGAATCTACAACCCCAAAAGCCGCCTCACTCCATGTTAAAGCTATATATACGTTTCATTCTTATCATTCCTTGGCTCACCTCCCTCTCAGGCAACCATACCAACCTATTAGCGCTTCCCAACACACAGAGAGAGAGAGAGAGAGAAGGGAAGAGTTTCCATCTCTGGTTGTTTCTTCTCTGCAGTTCCACAATTCTAGTTTACATGCTTGAGTGTTGAAAAAAAGAAAAGAATTCTGGGTTGTCTGTTGGATTTACAGGGGATTTGTGCGTGCTGCATTTTTGGGTGGTACAATGGATGGTGTTGATCTCTACAAAGTAAGTAGTTTGCGTAGAAACAATTCTGTTTGGAGGAGCGATGCAGTCGAAGTATTCTCCAGATCTTCTCGAGAAGAAGATGACGAAGAAGCTCTTAAATGGGCTGCTCTTGAGAAACTGCCCACTTATGATCGTATCAGGAAAGGTATCCTCACTGGGGTGGGAAGCCAACCCACTGAGGTTGACATTGGAAACCTTGGATTCCAAGAGAAGAAGAACTTAATAGAGAGATTGGTCAGAGTTGCAGAGGAGGATAATGAAAAATTCTTGCTGAAACTCAAGAATCGCATTGAAAGGTGGGAACTCCTTTACCTTTTCTATAAGTAGAAAACAAAAAAGAACATTTATATTCTTCTAAATTTATATGGTTTACCAAGTTCCTTTCCGGACCATTCCTTCGCCTAACATCTCTGTTTATTGCTTTTACACAGAGTTGGAATTGATCTTCCCACTATTGAAGTCCGCTTTGAGCATCTTAACATTAATGCAGATGCTTATGTAGGAAGCAGAGCTCTGCCTACAATATTCAACTTCACTGCAAATATTGTTGAGGTAATATACCTGCAAATATTTATACATTTGGTGGAACTTTGTGTCTTTAATCCTCTTATACTTTGCACCTCCTCCTCACTTACATATTTATCTATACATTTCGAAGGGAATCTTGAACTTTCTACACATTCTTCCAAGTAGAAAGAAACCGCTATGTATCCTACAGGACGTTAGTGGAATTATAAAGCCTTCAAGGTGTGAAGATTATGCTTATATTTTGAATTGGAATATGGTTGGTTTTGTTGCTTTTCAATTTTAATGCGAAATCCCAATTCATTTCTTATTTTATTTCGATGATATGCAGAATGACTTTGTTATTGGGACCCCCAAGCTCAGGGAAGACAACTCTGTTGTTGGCTTTGGCGGGGAAGCTTGATCCAGATCTAAAGGTAAAGGATTTTCAGTTTACTTCTGATTCCTTCTACTTTCTATTAGTTAGCATGAATGTTCTTGGCAAGTTATTTGACTATTCATATTCTTCTTTGAATATATTTATTTCCAAATCGCCAGGTTTCCGGGAGAGTAACTTACAATGGTCATGGAATGGATGAATTTGTCCCTCAGAGGACATCAGCCTATATCAGTCAACATGATCTCCATATTGGAGAAATGACGGTTAGAGAAACCTTGGCTTTCTCTGCTAGATGTCAGGGTGTTGGAGAGAGATATGGTAAGTTGTAGATCCTTTCTTATTAATAATATATTTACTCAATTCATTTGGAGTATTGAAGAGTTAATCACTTGATATGCCTTTGCACAATCTGCAGATATGTTGACAGAGTTATCAAGAAGAGAAAAGGCCGCAAATATTAAACCTGATCCTGATATAGATATCTACATGAAGGCAAGAAAATCAAACTCTTATATTGCAACGTGAACCTCTACTTCTATGAGATATGCATGATTTTACAAATTTCTTTTCCAATATTTTGTCCCAGGAGACAAAATTTTGGTTTTTTGGTGCTGAAAAGAACTTTAGGTCCAGTGGGTTGGCTTCACTTTAGGTCCAGTTCTGAAAAGAACTTTAGGTCCGAGGTTTGGTTCCCTGGAGTTTGAATTCCTTTTGTATACCTGCAGGCAGCAACACTGGAGGGGCAGGAGACCAGTGTAGTTACAGATTATATTCTAAAGGTATCACCAAATCTACACAGTCTATAACTATGGATTACATTTGGGAAGCACTGGTGGATTTCTAACAAGTTTTTCTTGTGCTCCACTAAAAACTAACAGATTCTGGGATTGGATGTATGTGCTGATACCATGGTCGGTGATGAAATGTTGAGGGGTATCTCTGGAGGGCAAAGGAAGCGTGTGACAACTGGTAGATCAACTTATTCTACAACCGCTAAATGGATCTTTTTCCTATTCTATTCTAGCTTTTTTTCTTTGGATTTACCCTTTTCTGTTACATGTTACAATTGGTAGATGAACTTGGGAGCAACTAATGGATTATTTTTCTTTTTCCAACTTCTATTGTCTTGACCATTTTGAAACTATTGTTATAGGGGAGATGCTGGTTGGACCAGCAAGGGCACTTTTCATGGACGAGATATCTACTGGTTTGGACAGTTCAACAACTTATCAGATTGTCAGTTCACTAAGGCAGTCCATACACATCCTGAATGGGACTGCTGTCATCTCCCTCCTCCAGCCAGCACCTGAGACATATAATCTTTTCGATGACATCATTCTCCTTTCAGATGGACAGGTTATTTATCAGGGCCCCCGTGAACATGTGCTTGATTTCTTTGAATCTATGGGCTTCAAATGTCCAGAAAGAAAAGGAATTGCTGACTTCTTACAAGAAGTAAGTGTGGCCCAAAAGTTTAGACCTTTTTTCCAACTGTTTTGGTATCCACTTCCTCTTTGTGAATATTGACTTCTTTCTGCATATGATAGGTGACATCAAAGAAAGATCAGAAACAGTACTGGGCTCGTAAACTTAAACCATATAGATTTGTCACTGTTAAGGAATTTGCCGAGGCATTCCAGTCATTTCATGCTGGCCAAAAAATTAGTGATGAGCTTTCAACTCCATTTGACAAGACAAAGAATCACGCAGCTGCTTTGACAACTAAAAAGTATGGCGTTAGCAAAAAGGAGTTGTTTAAAGCTTGCCTGTCAAGAGAGATCTTGCTGATGAAGAGAAATTCATTTGTTTACTTCTTCAAGATGGCACAAGTAAGTTAGATTTACTGAAGTATTGATCTTGAACCCCAAATAATGATACTAATTCATACTTACCTCCCTTTTTCCAGCTTGCAATTCTGGCTTTCATCACAATGACTCTCTTCCTACGTACCGAGATGCATCAAGATGATTCTACTGATGGTGGAATTTATATGGGTGCTTTGTTTTTTGCTCTTATCACGGTTATGTTCAATGGATTATCAGAGATTTCAATGACAATTGCAAAGCTTCCGGTCTTTTACAAGCAACGAGATCTCCTCTTCTATCCTGCCTGGGCATATTCACTCCCCACATGGATCCTCAAAATACCAATTACATTTATAGAAGTTGGCATTTGGGTATTCATTACTTATTATGTCATTGGATTTGATCCAAATGTTGAAAGGTAGAGATTAAGTGAACTAGATCATGCTTTGCCCACCACTTGCTTTCCTGTTCAGATTATCATTACATGTTTTGCTAACCCGGGAAATTTTCTTGTGGCAGGTTTTTTAGACAGTACTTTCTACTCCTACTTATCAATCAGATGGCTTCTGCACTATTCCGTTTCATTGGGGCAACAGGAAGGAATATGATTGTTGCAAATACATTTGGGGCATTTGCAGTGCTCACATTTGTAGTTTTGGGTGGTTTTATCTTGTCACGAAGTATGTACATCAAAATTAAATTCAGAGCATGTTTTTTTCTCCATTTGGAAGGTTTCATGTATTCAATTCAACTTTGTAGTATTAATATCCTTGTACTTGTTGAAAACTCAACATTTTGAATTTCACAGATGATGTAAAGAATTGGTGGATATGGGGTTACTGGATTTCACCATTGATGTATGGGCAGAATGCGATATCAGTAAATGAGTTCCTAGGGAAGAATTGGAGACATGTAAGTTATTTGATTTAGGACAGAAGGGAAATTTTCCACTTGAAATTGGATAAAGTGAATATGTTTTGTGTTGCAGGTTCTTCCAAATTCAACAGAACCACTTGGAGTGACTGTTATTAAATCCCGTGGGTTCTTCCCAGAAGCACATTGGTACTGGATTGGAGTAGGGGCATCAATTGGATATATGTTCCTGTTCAATTTCCTTTACACTGTGGCTCTACACTATCTCGATCGTGAGTACACTCTTCTCGATTTCCATATTTCCAGAAGTGGAATGCCCAGCTCTAAAACTTGGATGATGTCCTTGCAGCATTTGGGAAGCCTCAAGCAGTTCTACCAGACGAAGGAGAAGCAAGAACTGGAGAAGATAATGAATTATCCTCCCTAGAAATGACCTCCTCTGGTCATACCACATCTGGAGGTGATTAATCTCTTCTCATTTGATGCATTTAAAGTTTGCTGTCTTCTGGATAATAAATAAATTGCGTTGATTACTATTGCAGAACAACAAGATGGAATTATAAGAGTTGCATCCGAGTCTTCATCTGCAAGGATCGATGAGGTTAATCAGCATAAAAAGCGGGGCATGGTTCTTCCATTTCAGCCACTTTCCATCACTTTTGATGAAATTAGATACTTCGTGGACATGCCACAGGTAAGTTCAAGTTTAACAAAAAGTTGTAAATAAATTTGTGACCTAGAGGTTTTTAATCATCCCACTAACCACAACTAAGAATCTATTCCTGATTCTAAACCTGTAGGAAATGAAAGATCAAGGTGTTACTGAAGACCGCTTAGAACTTTTGAAGGGTGTTAGTGGCTCTTTCAGGCCAGGAGTCCTAACAGCATTAATGGGGGTTAGTGGTGCTGGTAAGACAACCTTGATGGATGTATTGGCTGGAAGGAAAACTGGTGGGTATATAGAGGGAAACATCACCATATCTGGCTACCCCAAGAAGCAGGAAACATTTGCCCGGATATCAGGATATTGTGAGCAGAATGATATCCACTCTCCCCATGTTACTGTTTATGAGTCCCTTCTATATTCAGCTTGGCTCAGATTACCATCTGATGTTGATTCTTCAACAAGAAAGGTTGGTTTGTTTAAGGTCTTTATCTGTTTTTTGTGTTATTTTAATCAGTTTAAGTTTTAATAGATTGGCATGATGTGAGCAGATGTTCATTGAGGAGGTCATGGAACTGGTGGAATTAAACCCATTGAGGGGGGCATTAGTTGGGTTGCCTGGGGTGAATGGTCTTTCAACTGAGCAGCGTAAGAGAATGACCATTGCAGTCGAGCTTGTTGCAAACCCCTCTATAATCTTCATGGATGAGCCCACATCAGGGCTTGATGCCCGGGCTGCTGCAATTGTAATGAGAACAGTGAGGAACACTGTGGACACAGGAAGAACTGTAGTATGCACCATTCACCAACCAAGCATTGATATTTTCGAAGCTTTTGATGAGGTATGAATGTTACAGATTAAATAACTCGAAACCTATTGCATGTTATTCTTTTATATGAGAGACTGAAGTGTTAATGTGTGGTCACAGTTATTTCTAATGAAGCGAGGAGGAGAAGAAATATATGTTGGTCCATTAGGGCGTCAGTCCTGCCATTTGATCAAGTACTTTGAGGTGAGAACTTATAAATAACAATCAACTATAAAATGGGAAAGTTCTTTGTTAGGACTACCGATTCATATGGAAAAATCTTTGATAGTATGTTTCTGTATTTCATCAAGGGAATTGAAGGAGTAAGCAAAATCAAAGATGGTTATAATCCTGCTACATGGATGTTAGAGGTAACTACAATGGCACAAGAAGAAATTTTAGGGGTAAACTTTGCCGAGGTGTACAAGAATTCAGAACTTCATAGGTATGTTAACCTAAACATTCTAGTTTCCTCTTGAAACTGTGTCGACTTAATGTTATGGCTATTTATTGATATTTGGTGTGTGTTTCAGGAGGAATAAATCTTTAATTCAAGAATTAAGCACTCCTCCTCCAGGCTCAAAAGACCTTTACTTCCCTACAATGTATTCACAATCTTTCTTCACTCAATGTATGGCTTGCCTATGGAAACAACACTGGTCATACTGGCGCAACCCACCATATATCGCAGTGAGATTTATCTTCACAACATTTATAGCCTTGCTGTTTGGTACAATATTCTGGGATCTCGGCTCCAAGAGGTAATTTATGTTAGAAGCTATAGAGCTCTATAGAGTTTATTTCTCTACTTTGTTTGTCCATCCATTTAAGCTTGATCTGGACATTGGAAATTGTAGGTCAAGGCAACAGGATCTATTTAATGCAATGGGATCTATGTATGCTGCCGTTCTTTTCCTTGGGATACAAAATGCCTCCTCTGTTCAGCCAGTCGTTGCAGTAGAACGAACAGTCTTTTATAGAGAGAGAGCAGCTGGAATGTATTCTGCCTTACCTTATGCCTTTGGACAGGTACTTGATATACCCTTCATTAAGAAGATCAACAAAGCACGTGTCCAAATTTTCTTCTAAGAGAAAATTAATCAAATCATCTTTGCATCCTCACCAGATTTCTTTCCTTTTCTCGTAGGTGATGATTGAAATTCCACATATCTTTGTACAAGCAGTGGTATATGGGGTCATAGTCTATGCCATGATTGGATTTGAATGGACTGCTGCCAAATTCTTTTGGTATCTCTTCTTTATGTACTTTACCTTGCTATACTTCACATTCTATGGGATGATGGCAGTGGCTGTAACTCCAAACCACAATGTTGCTGCCATAGTTTCTTCTGCATTCTATGGAATATGGAACCTTTTCTCAGGATTTATAGTCCCGCGAACAGTGAGTTTCAGTCATCTTTATTTGTTTTTCCAGTGTGAGATTTTTTGAAAAGTTAGAGTCATTAATGCCTTTTTTGGTTGTTTGCAGAGGATGCCTGTGTGGTGGAGATGGTACTATTGGATTTGCCCGGTTGCCTGGACATTGTATGGATTGGTTGCTTCTCAGTTTGGAGATATACAAGACAAGATTGAAACAGATCAAACAGTGGAGGAGTTCCTTAGAAGTTACTTTGGGTTTAGACATGACTTTTTAGGTGTGGTTTCAGCAGTGATAATTGGCTTTACAGTGCTCTTTGCATTCATCTTTGCCTTCTCGATTAGAGCATTCAACTTCCAAAGGAGATGAAGGAGATATTATATGCAGTATTTTTTTTTTCAGTATAAACTAAGGGTTGAAGTATTTGTGGAGTTTTATTTTTTTAATTCATTTGTTTGTCACATCTTAAGATGCATTAAAGCTTTTTAATACCTTGTATTTTTTTGTTTCATGGTCTCCTTGGCACTCAAAAAGCCAGGTTTCCATTTCCATTACACATTCAAATAAAGTTTGATTAATAGAAAAGTTTATCATGAGTCCTATTTGATATTGTTTAAGATAATGAACAGAGGAAGGTGGTTCAGTCTATAATATACTTTATTACAACGATCTTCAGGCTTCAATGAAGTTTAGGTTGATAAGGAGGTTCAGTCTATATACTTTCTGTACTGGCAGGGCCTCCACAATGCATGCGGTTTGTTATAAACTGGCACTAATAAAGCATATTATGTAGAAAAGGATAGTATCTGTGCATCTGATGGAGCCTTGTCAGAAGAAGGCTCTCCTGTAGCAACTCAAGTGCATCAGCAAATGTTGAATCACTGCGTCGACCCACTATAGAATTCATTGGTGAACCTTTGAAATTCAAACAAAAGGCGAACAAATATTTACCAATATTCTATATTCTTTCTTGTAAAAGAATCAAAATCACATATTTTAATCAAACAAAGGGTCTAAACAAAATGAAATGAACCTTTTCACCAAATTTATATGTCAGAAAAACTAAGATGGGTGTTTGGTATTGATGGCATTTTTCCAAGCAACTACGTCAACTCAATGCCATGTAAGCATTTGGGATCTGCTCCTCATAGAGCCCACCTCCACCACACCGACCTCACAGCCACATCTCACCCTGTGTTGGGAACATCTATCTCACATTGAATAATAAATATAATGCAAGTACGGGAGATGTTCTCGATGTGCGGCTATGAGGTCAGTGTGAGATGCGCTATGTGAGCAACAGATTTGGACTCTTAACAGAAAAATGTCCCATTCATTATTTGGCTGAATTGTTTAACTAATAAATGTTTCTCTCAATTTACCTGAGCCTTTTATCAGAAAAAATGCGCAAAATTACGTTTTTCATTTTTAAGGGGCATTTTTATACTGTTTGGCAGATGTGATGCCTAGCCTAATGGTGCTGAATTGTTGAAAAACGACAATGATACTAAGATGGGACCTGAATAAGAAATGGAACTAGAATCCTTGTGCATAAGTTACTAAGCGTGAAGAGGAACCGTCTTGTTTAGCTCTGCTTTGAATCTTCTCTAAAATGAAGAAAACATAATAAAAAAAGATGTTAAATCAGAGGATGTTGGAGAGAGAGAGAGAGAGATAAGACATGGACTTAAAAGAAGCTCCGTGTCCATTGTATTCAAACTAAACTAAGACAAACAAATAAAGACATGGTGTTAAAAGAAGCTCCGTGTCCATTGTATTCAAACTAAACTAAGACAAAGAAACAAAAGAAAGTAGTCCATACCTGGAGTTGACAGCAGAAACAAAGAGACACCAATTCTGGGTGCTACTGATACAACAAACCTATTTATGTCCATTGTTTTCAAACATGTATAAGGTATGTTTTTCTCTTGTTTACAAACAAAACTAAGACAGAAAAAAAAAGGGAAATCCATAGAGTTCGGCTTCAGTCAAGGCAAAGCCCATTCAAGCAGCCTTTACTGCTTTGCATTGATAATTTCTCCATACTTGTATGTGGTGTGTTTTTCTCTTGTTTACAAACAAAACTAAGACAGAAAAAAAAAAAAGGGAAATCCATAGAGTTCTGCTTCTCAAGGCAAAGCCCATTCAAGCAGCCTTTACTGCTTTGCATTGATAATTTCTCCATACTTGTATGTTTTATTCCATGAAGAGATATTCCCAATGCAAAATTGCAAAATGCTGTTAGAACGGTGTGGGCACAGATTTGCCCTGATAGAAGTCAATCTCAAATCCATACCTGATTTGTTGATGGAGAAGATGTGGATTCTGGGTGCTATTGAAATATGTTTGTCACTCTTACAGGTCAAGAACATCAATCCTTCCTTTAGCATCATTTGTTCATCTCTAGGCCTATGACTCTAATGAATCTCATGGTTCTGAAATCAAAAGAGAATATTAGCAATAGAATGAAAATAGTAAACAGCAGAAAGAAGAAAATACTGGTGCTTTATTAAATCGTAACGAACAAAAACTATGAAGTCCAAATCTATATTTGTATCTATACTATTATAAAAAGTATGTATGAGGGTGTGAAATTTTTATTGACCAAAATGCCCACATTTGTTATTTAGTCCATATCTAATTATGAAAGTTGAAAACGTAATTTCAATTAATGTTTTTCACCTCATTTAACCCCCTATTCATTAACTCTTGTATTTAAGGTATTAACTCTCATTCTCTCTTATTAAATCCCATATTTAAATTAATTTTTCACTAATAAATGCTACTAATTAGATATATGTCCAATACTTTTAACAATATAAAACCATATATTTTTAAACTTACTCTAAAACAAAATCATTCTTTATCCAAGTGATGACTAAACAATTCAACTATCCACATTAAATTGGTCAACCCATGAAGTCATAGTTAGATAATAAAATTTTTAAATAAAAATAAATATAGAAAATTACAAAAATGTAGAAAAAATAGATTTATGATATTTTTTATTAATCAAATTAAAAAAACAAGTGTAATAAACAAGAATTATTTTTATTGATGATAAAAATAAAATACATAATCTAAAACTAACCAAAAATGTAATTATTTTCCTATTTAGGGGAGATCAATAGTTCAACTTAAGGGTCAAATCTAACAACCCTTAATGTCATAACTAAACAATAAAAATTTATAAAATATACAAAAATGCAAAAAATAAAAAATACATAAATTTTACAAAAGGAAACATTTGGACACATGTATAATATCATATATTTAACATATTAAATAAAAAATGTGTAAATAACAATATTATTTTTACACACTTAGAAATAAAAAAAAAATTATAGAAAAATTGAACACATCTATAACCCATATTTACACTACAATTAAAAATATGAATAAAATGTGGAACTTCCTTTTAACTAAAATACCCATTTTTTGAATTTAATCCCTATTCAATTGTGAGGTTTAAACTGTAGTTTGGGCTACAATTTTCTCCTCATTCAATTCCCCTCTTTAAATCTTACATTTTTTTTTATAAATAAACAAAAAAGTATACACTAAAAAGATAAAACATTATAAAAAAAGAGTCCAGCCAAATAGGTAAGCATGCCAATGATACCCAAAACTTTGTAGCCCAATATGAGATGCTTATGTAATCATATTCAAATTTTGAAATCTACATCTGATTAATAGTGAAAAACAAAAAATATAAAACGTACATGAACCTTATAGAAAATTTTGAATGCATCATTTCAGTCATTATCATCATCTAGAATTACCTTGTGCAAAGCACTTCGCACTTACTAGTGTTACCTAAACGGTTATGACTTACAAGAATATGTTTGGGAAAATTTCAAACTACTAAGGGTAGTCCAATTTAGTACCACAACTTCAAAACATGATGACATATGTGACTTAAAACTTTTAAGAGTAAATCTCTTAAACTACCCCTACTATTTAGCGTAATGACACGTGGTACCCCTACTGTTTAGTTATTGTTTTGCCGTACACTTAAGTTTTCTAACAACTGTCCAAGTCCTCCCCTGCTGTTATTCGGCCGTTGGATCCCGCTTGCATGTGACACCACGTGATTAATAATTTTGTCCATAATTCCCAAACTACCCTTTTACGATCAAAAACCCTTTTTGGTTTTAATTCGGGCTCGTTGGCTCTATTGTCACATACAACGATGGCCACACGGTTGTCAGTGCTAGTTGACGACAGTCTCTCTCTATCTCTTTCGATCTGTCATTGCAAATCTTTCTCTTTAGACAAGTCACAAGCTCCTATCCATGCGTCCCGGTGCTATGTCCCGTTGCAAGTCTCTCTCTCTCTTTCGATAAATCTCTCTCTCTCTTTTATCTGTCTCTCAGAGCTTGACAAATCTCTGATCATTCAATCTCAGATCAGAGCCATGTTCTACAGCCAACCGTAGTAGAACAAGCAATCTGAAATCTGGGCTACTCTCAGTGACTCAGTAGTGGTGTCGAAATGTCCAGCTTCTCTCTCTCTCTCTCTCTCTCTTTGTTCCCTTAGTTGTCTCTCCCTTTCGCCCCATCCCAAGAGAGTGACAGTGGCAGTGGCGGTCTCCTCCACCTCCAATGAAGAGTTACTGTTCATCGTCTACTAGATTTTTTGAAGCTATTGTTGGGTTTCATTAATTGTTTTGTTGCGCAGCAAACAAAGGTTCTAGATCTTTCGTTGTTGGCTTTCTCAATTGTTCTTCCCTATGTCAGAAAATTTTCAAGGTAACTCTAAATTTCTCAACGGTTCTTCCCTACTTCATGAAAAACAATAACATAATAGTAACAAAATAAAATGCACATAAAATTCTGCAAACAAAGAGTAACTCCACTTTTCTTGATGGATCCAGCAATGCTTGAACACAACCTTGGGCTTCACAAAGCTGATAATACAATCCGAATTGGGCAGAACTTCTTGGAGGTTTTGATAGCCTTCCAATAAAGAGGATATTCAGTCGGTGTTCTTGTAACTTCTACACATTCCTTTTTATAGGTAATTGCCACAACGTCTCTCCTATGAAAGAGAAAATAGGAGACGTTACCAAGGATAAACTTCATCAACATTAATCTTGTTCTACCCCTTCGGATTGAGACAAGTGTCTCATGGTTTTAAACCACATGATCACTCAGCCCATTCTAAGCCAAACATCCTCTTGCTGACTTAGTCAAAGGCTGAAATGGGTCCAACTTAGACCCAATAACCACCCTGTGAACAAGTCAAAAGCACTTTATAGAATACAAATTTATTTTTACTAGAAAATAAATAATAACATATAATAAAAACTGTAATTGGTGTGTGTTGTAGTGTGTTCATAGGGATGATATTATTAAGCTACTTCATCAACATGTGGCTTTTCACATGGCCAGTGGATTCTCCTACACGTTGAGGATTCCAAATCGAGGGCCTATGGCCACCCGTTCCAACATCTCCCACTTGGCCAGTTAGGCTCGAGATGTTTGGTTGCTTCTCAATCCCATTGACACCATGTGCCTTTTAAAATCACTAACCCCAATGGGCTTTGTCAATGGATCAGCAACCATCTCATTTGTCGGCACGTGCTCTACCAGGATCTCAT